GTACGTGAGTCTCAAGGAGGCCCACCAATGCAGCAATTGCAGTGAGAAGGAAGACCATGAATGGAAAGAACAGTGTGAGTCAACCTGGAGCTTTGGAGGGTTTCAAATCAGGCCAAGATCTTCCTGCAGCCTGAACAAATTCTACATGATGGATGAATTAAGTCTTCCTAGAAGGAAAAGTAGGTTGTCTCAGGATCTGTCTCCACTTTGATGAGTTGAAGTGCTCCTCAACTGTTGTTTGGTCCCCATCCTTGAGTAGGTGCAAAATAAGACCAGCACGACCTTTTCTTGGACCCATTCTGTCCCTTAACTTTGAAGTCCCTTAACTTTCCCCCAAGATAATGGATCCCCAACCCTCGGGCTGTAGACTGGCACCGGGTTGTGGTATGCCATAAACTGGGCCTTACAAACAAGCCAAGCCCCATCTGTGGGATGCAGGCAGCATGCGAAACCACGCTCCCTCCAGTCCATGGAAAAAAAACCTCTTTCCATGGGAACTGGTCCCTGGTGTCCAAAAGGTTGTGGGCGGGGGTGCTGTCCTAGAACATGGTGCAATAAAGTGAGAAGGTGCACTGCTTCCCCGGAACCTTCCCCATAACAAATCATCAGAGATCTGTAAGAGGAGAACGTGCAGTCTGGACAAAAAGACGGCAGTTGAGTTGTATGTTCTAATTTAGAATAGAATAGAATAGAGCTGGAAGGGATCCTGGAGGTCTTCTAGTCCAGCTCCCTGCTCAAGGAGGAGAACCTATACCATCTCAGACAGGTGACTGTTCAGCCTCTTCTTAAAAATCTCCAATGACGGAGCACCCACAATTTCTGGAGGCAAGCTGTTCCACGGATTAATTGTCCTCTCTGTCAGGAAGTTTCTCCTTAATTCCAGGTTGCTTCTCTCTTTGATCAGTTTCCAACCATTGTTTCTTGTCCTACCTTCTGGTGCTTTGGAGAATAGTTTGACCCCCTCTTCTTTGTGGCAGCCCCTCAAATACTGGAATATGGCTATCATGTCTCCCCTATTTCTTCTTTTCTTTAGACTAGCCAGACCCAACTCCTGCAGCCATTCTTCGTATGTTTTAGTCTCAGACTTTTGATCATCTTAGTTGCTCTTCTCTGATTTTTTTTCCCAAACTCTCAACATCTTTTTTGTGATACGGTGACCAAAATTACCTGCAGTATTCCAGGTGTGGTCTCACTAGGGTTTTATAAAGCAGTACTAATATCTCACGTGTTCTTGATTTTATGCCTCTGTTTATACAATCCAGGATTGTATTGGCTTTTTTGGCTGCTGCTGCACACAGCTGGCTCATGGTTAAGTGATCGTCCACCAGGACTCCATGCCTCTCTTCCTCTCTCTTCTTCTTTGTGTTTCATTCATTAGCAGCGTTCTTTGTGAAAGGATGATCTAGAGATATATCTGAATTCAGGCTGATGACAGGAAGTTTAGTCTGACATCTCCAGAGGGTGCAAGTTGGGTAAAAGACCAATTTAGATCATATTTTTTTTTTCGTACAAGGATTTGAAAATTACGGCTCATTTTCTGTGACATACCTAGAATTCTGGGGTGTTCAGGGATTTGTGGTTTTAAACATCTATTTTAAAGAGCTGTTTAAGCTAAATTTATCCACCGAGTATATTTTTTTCCCCTTAACTGCCTTTAATGTGAAGTCGGATTTCAAAGTGCGTAAGATCTCTCTGGTGGGATTGTTGTTAGCAGTGGAAACAAAAGATGCAATTTTTATAAATAAATGCATATCATTAAGAAATGTTTGTAACTATGCCACTAAATGCTGTCAGTCTAAATTCTAGTTCCCCTCCCTTCTAATGGTTTTTGGAAGGGATCTGTCCATGCCCAAATGCCAGGCTGCCATGGTAACTGAACAAGGTCCAACGTCTTTAGATATATTGCATATATTTTAGGATTCCTCTCAAATTATTTTTTTTTCAAATTCTTGATACCACCTTAGTGCAACATAGAGTTGTACAAGGGCTACATAACTGAAGGTTCTCATTTTAAGAGAGAGAAAGAGAGAGAGAGAGACAGATACACAGAGACAATGAGAGAGATGATAGATGGATAGATGGATGGATAGATAGATAGATAGATAGAGCTGATGGATGGATGGATGGATAGATAGATAGATGGATTGGTGGGTGGGTGGGTGGATGGATAGAGATAGATAGATAGATAGATAGATAGATAGATAAATAGATAGATAGATAGATGATAAATAGATAAATAGAGCTGATGGATGGATGGATTGGTGGGTGGATGGATGGATGGATTGGTGGGTGGGTGGGTGGGTGGATGGATGGATGGATAGATAGATAGATAGATAGATAGATAAATAGATAGATAGATATAGATATTATAGACATAGAGATGTAGAGATTATAGACATAGAAATAGAAGGATAGATAGAGAGAGATGATTGCAGCTCTTCGTTATGGATTTGACATATCCTGGGGTGGAAGAAAAATGTTGAATTCCAATTTTAATGTGGATTTACACATTTTACACTTTTGAAAGCGGACAAACCAGAACAAGCTTTTCCAAATGCTGCTGACATGCTCTTGGATTTTATGACATCATTTGGAAATAGAAAAATGGAAAATTGCCAGGTTAAGGACATCCGAAAGCAAGACTCATTTTGCATTCTTTTTTTCACTATGCCAGTTTATATTAGTGGAGAATGTATTCACACAGATGTTTAGACTGCGGAAAATAATGTGAACTGCTTATATTTCTCTCTCTCTCTCTCTTATCTATTTATCTACCTATCTACTCTGTCTCTCTGTGTCTCTCAACTATCCATTACGGTATTTATCTATTGTCTATCTAATATCTGTCTGTCCATCCCTCCATCCCTCCATCTATTCATCTATCTCTGTCTTTGTCTATCTATCTATCTATCTATCTATCTATCTATCTATCTATCTATCTATCTATCTATGCATAGAATCCAGTCTCTCTCTCTCTCTCTCTCTCTCTCTCTCTCTCTCTCTCTCTCTCTCTATATATATATATATATATATATATATATATATATATATATATATATATATATATATATAATCTATGTGTGTTTATAACAATTCCTCAAGTTTTGAGCAGATTTGTTTTATTTAGGAAGAAAAATCCATACAGACAGATGTAGGTGACAGAACCAAGATAGGGAATATACAGAGAAAAGAAATATTTGAATCACACAGATTTGCCCATCTTTATGAACTTATTCTTATATGCTAATTATCTGAAAGGCTATGACCTGTCTTTGATATGAAACCCAGTCATTTTGCCCTGAATTAAATTTGCATGGGATAAATGATATTCCCATTAACCCTGGCTGTACCTGACCTCTCACATTCCTAATAAAAGAAAAATCTTGAATAATTAACTTTCATGATTAAGAGAGTGGAAATTGTGTGCGAAATGAGAAAATAAGGCCCAGCTTATTTTTCAACTGAAGCAAAAGGCATGATCCCTTTAAGTCAGCATTTGAGCCCCAAATGCATACAGTTGACCCAGGTCTGTTTTTAACAGACACACATACACACACATCCAGATTTTTCAATTCTGTTGGTGCAATCCCATATTCCAACATTTCATTTCTTTTCTCCCAAGTCCCAAAGTATATATTTCTCATCTTTGGCTGTTTTAAACAAAACATCTAACATGAAGAAAGTTCTCTTAAACCTGCTGGCTATTTAGAAATATTTAAATATATATTGATGTTGATCAGTGCTATTAAACAGTGTATCGATATATCTATCATCTACATCTATCTGTCTATCAATCTCTCCCTCCATCATCTATCTATCTATCTATCTATCTATCTATCTATCTATCTATCTATCTATCTATCTATCTATCTATCTATCTACCTACCTACCTACCTACCTACCTACCTACCTACCTACCTACCTAATCATCTATCATCTCTATCTATCTATTTATCTATCATCTATCTCTACACACACAAACACAAAAACCCATACAAGCACACACACACATATACATACACACATACACATACATACATACATACATACATACATACATACATATACACTTATATTTAATTCTAATATATCTTTGTGATCTCAGATATTTTGTAAAACATCGGTTCAATACAAGCTTAAAAATACATCCATGCAATCATAGAAGGCACAGGTTGAGAGAGATCTTATAAGACAGGATTCCAACCCTTTGATCAACAGGAATGCAATAAAATATTTGTGAGTGCTTGTCATTCAGCCACCATTGTTCTGGGCAGATTGTGGCACTGATTAGCAGCTCTTAGCATCAAAAATTTCTAATATTCAATGCATTCTTAAAAGGAAACCTGAATTGCAGAACAAGCAGTTTGGTGTTTTGATCACATATAGCCAGTTAGTCCGTATTGCATTAGCATGGTAGGCTGCACTGACCGTGCTAATCTTAGAGAGACAGGATACTTCATGGTGTAATTTGAAAGTTTTTCTGCAAGAAGTGTCTGTCTAGAGAAAAGAGGAAAATCTTGTTACTGTTTTTAAAGACGCTGAGAAATCCCGCCAATACTTTTATCTGATTCATATGAAAATATGCTTGTGGAATCAATCAGGGTGGGGTTTCCTAACTGGATGCCTGCAAGAGATGTTGGACTCCAACTGCCATCATCCCTATTCTACTACTTTTGAAGAGCTGCAGAATGATAAGAGGCATCCAGGAGTGGGTATCCAGGTTGATGGAGTATCCAAGAGAAGGTTGCCAAGTTGATGAAGGATATCCAATTGATGAAGAATCTCCAGGAAAAGCTTTCCAGTTTGATGAAGGATATCCAAAAGGTGGAATCCAGGTTGTTGATGAAGTCTATCCAGACTGATAAAGAGTATTCAGGAGAAGATGGTATTCAGATTGATGAAGGAGATTCAAAAGACAGAATCCAAGTTGATGAAATCTATCCAGGTTGATGAAGAGTATCTAGGAGAAGGTTTCCAGGTTGATAAAAGGAACACAAAAGATGGAATCCAGGTTGTTGATGAAGTCTATCCAGGTTGATGAAGAGTATTCAGAGAAGATAGTATCCAGACTGATGAGGGATATTCAAAAGATGGAATCCAGGTTCATGAAGTCTATCCAGGTTGATGAAGAGTATCTAGGAGAAGGTTTCCAGGTTGATGAAGGATATGCAAAAGATGGAATCCAGGTTGTTGAGGAAGGCTATCCAGGTTAATGAAGAGTATTCAGGAGAAGATGGAATCCAGATTGATGAAGGATATTCAAAAGACAGAATCCAGGTTGATGAAATCTATCCAAGTTCATGAAGAGTATCCAGGAGAAGCTTTCCAGGTTGATGAAGGGTACCCAAAAGATGGAATCCAGGGTTGATGAAGGGTTTTCAGGAGAGCTTATCCAGGCAGATGAAGAGTGTCATGCTTTTGGCATAATTCTTGCTCACAAGTATTGCAGTCAGCATCCCTGGGCTTTGCCTGACCCAGGTTTCACACAAACCAAGAGATCGTGGCCGATTCCTGCTATGTCCCCCCCCCTCCCCTTGGTTCTACAGCAATGCGAACCTGGCTTTTCTCAGCCAGCCTTGGCAGCCAAGAAGATGCAGTAGTGTCCACGTGGGCCTTAATTTGCTACTTTGTGCTGTCAGTAGAAGCCTAATTTATCCATTCAGGGCAGAGGAGGTCCCATGAGGTCTTCCAGCTTTCACGTCAGCTGCTCTGCTCAGCGCTGCCAAGGTTCAGAAGGGCTGGTGTTGGACCAAGTGCAGCTGCTCCGGGTTGTGAAAATTGCAGGGATACACTGATGATGCAAATAATTTACTTAGCGGGTGGAATTTCTAAATGAAGGAGGATTCATCTCGTCCCAGGGCTGCCCACTGCCAAGTCGATAGGCGAAGCGTAGCTAATTTCGGTGTTCTGCTTAATTCACTGCCGTGGTTCTTCTTCTTCTCCTTTTTTTATTTGCTGAGCCAAACAAGTAATAACATTGCTTTTTTTTCCCTAGGTAATTGAGATAAACCCTTTAATCTTCTTTAAAGAAAAAGAAGCAACTTTTTAAAATGCAGAAACCGGTTCTCTTCTGAATTTCCATCCAAGAACTCCATCCACCAGGTCAAAATAAGATCGTTCTGGTCCGTTACTTGGCTACTAGCTCAGCCAGGTATACTTGCTTTCTCCAGGCAGGTATGATGACTTTGCTGGCTTTTTCTTCTTGCTTGACTTAGGATGTAAACCACGGTGGAGTTGCATTCTGCTTTGGTATGTGAAAATTCAATTTAGCTGTCACAGCTAATAACCACAGAAAAAGCTGCCTTCCATGAATTAATCTAACCCCCTCTTCCCCCCCCCAAAATAGCAAATGAAACTCAGAATGTTTGGGAAAGGAAGGAGAAAAATGTTTACTTTTCCCCTGGACCATTCATAACTTCATAAATATCTCTACTGCTTCTTCCACCATAGCCAAGTTGTTTCTTCTCAAACAATTATGCAGACAAACAGAAATAAAATTCTCATCATCACTGGAGGTTTTTAAGATGAGGTTAGACCAGTGGTTCTCAACCTTTTTAATGCCACGACCCCCAACCGGTTGTAAGTCGAGGACTACTCAACCGGTCGTAAGTCGAGGACTACTCAACTGGTGCAGCACCGTTTGCGGACTGGGACTTTTGGCGGGCTCAGCAGGGCAGAGACAGCTTGGACAATTCCTATTGGCTTTTGAAAGCCAATAGAATTAAACTCTATTCAAGAGAGTCTATTCTATTGGCTTTCAAAAGCCAATAGAATAAAAGGGAGTAGAACAGCTATGGAAAAGGGGAAAAAAATGGCAGACTGCATTGTTTGGCGACCCCCGTGAAATGGTCGTTCGACCCCAAATGGGGTCCCGACCCACAGATTGAGAACCACTGGGTTACACAGTCACTTATCTGAAATGGTATAGCTTCTCCTGCTTGAGCAGGGGACTGGACTAGAAGACCTCCAAGGTCCCTTCCAGCTCCATTCTAATGCTAATTCTAATTCAAATCACCCTTATAGTCTGTATTCAAAAGTTCTTTCTGCTGTAGCAACCTTTTCTTCCAGGTGTTCAAAGTTACATGCATAGTGTCCTCTCCTTCTCTCCTGTAGAAAATGGATGGAAACCAATCAAGGATAGAACCAACCTAGAACGTAGGAGAAAATTCATGACAGTGAGGACAATTAACCAGTGGAACCAGT